GGTTTGTATGGACGCTGCATCTGACCTGAGCTGTGCAGAGTTGGCAGGGTTGGCAGCAAGGACAATGGAGATTAAAGCAGCAGATTGAATTACTACAGGTAACACCTCTTGGCTGGTGGACTGAAATACTGTCCCAGGCTTTAGGACATCTGAGTCAGGAACCAGTAAGGCCGATGGCCCCACTCAGGCACCCACACGGTGAGGGTATGGAAATGACAGGAAACAGCATTGCCCCGGTTCTCACAGTGGATCAACAGGCTGTGTCAATGAGAACACACCCAACCCCTCACGCCTTGAAACAGCATCATCTACTGGAACTTGCACTGAGATGTCCCACCGGGATGGGTAAGTTGCTTTGCACCCCTGGGTGAGGGGGAACTAACTACCCTGTCCACTCTGGTATTCCATTGTCCTGTTGCAACGTGGACCTGTTGAAATGCACTGTGCCTGGAATAGAACATAAACCACTGAGAAAGGGGAGGGGGAGGGGTGGAGGAAGGGTCCTGACCAGCCCTGCCCCCCAGTTCATCTCCAAACAGAATGTTGTGTATATTCACACCTGCTGAGCCTGCTGAGGCATCTTTATTAAATCAAACAAGACACAGGTGAATGCCCTGAGTGATCTGACCCCCAGCCCAGCTTACTTAGTAAAGAAGTGATTACAGTGCAGGGGTCCTTAGGAGGAGCAGTGGTCACTGAGTTTTGGGGAATCATGGCCTTAACCCCTGTTTTCTCTTCCATGAGCCTGAATTTTTGCTATGGCATCTGCTTCCCACACAGCCAGGGAGCAGCCAAGGGAGCAACCTCCCTGCTAGCACAGCCCCATGCCATTGTCTGGGGCACACTGCAAAAGAGGGGGCATGAGATTGTTAGAGCCCGGAGGAGGACCATCAAGAGGACTTGACTGTCTATTGATTTAAGAGTTAGAGGTCAGCAATTGCAGCTCAAGGCTCCAGCAGATCCAGTATCTGGGTAGAGTCTGCCTCCTGGTTCTGAGATTGCCGAGTCTTCACAAGGTAGAGGGGGCAAGTTCTCTCTCTGGGTCTCTTTTGTAAGAGACTTAATCACCTCTCAGAGGCTCTGCCCTCAGAATACCATCACATTGAGGGTTCGGATTTCAGCATATGAATTTGGGAGAGAAGAGTCCCAGACATTCAGTCCTTACCACAACCCAATTTAAACATCACAAAGAACTTGAATAGACATTTCTGCAAGAAGTTAAACAAATGACTACTAAGTATATATACAGATACTCAGCACCCTTAGTCATCGGGGAAATGCAATGCAAAACCACAGAGAGCGATTGCTTAGTGCCTGCTGGGACAGCTGTAAGAAAATAAATGGAGAATAGCAAGTGTTGGCAAGGATGTGGGGAAGTTGGAATTTGCGTTCATTGCTGGTGGGAATATGAAATGGTGCAGATGCTGCCAAAAACATGTGTCCCTTGCTCAATAAGTTAAGCACAGAATTTCTATATGACCCAGCAACCCACTTCTGGATATCGACTCAAAAGAAATGCACGTCTACACAAAGACTGACATGGAAATGTTCACAGCAGTGGTATTTCATAAAAAAGACAAAACGAACACCACCCAAATATCCATTGGCTGATGAACATGACATATCCATGCAATGGAATATTATTCAGCAATAAAAAAGAGAGAAGTATATGCTACAACCTGGATGAACCCCAAACACAACATGTGAAGTAAAAGAAATCAGACACAAAAGACCACATGTCCTAGAGTTCCATTTATACACCACACCCAGCAAAGAAAAAGGAAAATCAGCAGAGACAGAAGGCAGATCAGGGTTGCTGGAAGTAGAATGGGGCTTACAGTAACCCAACAGAGAGGTCTTTTTGAAAATATTCTTAAAATCAGATTGTGGCGATGGCTGTACAACTCAGTAAACTTTTGAAAAACCACTGAACTTGCAGCATTTGTAATGCTGAAGGTCATGCTCTGTAAGTTATGCCTCGGTAAACAGTTAAAATAAAAACAAAAAAGAGGAAATGGGTTGAAAGAGAGGTTGTCTCAATTAGCCTCCCTCACCAGTCAGCCCCTTGGCTGAAATGCAAAGTCAACCACTTCCTCCCCATTGACCAGTTCTGAGCACTAAGGGGTGTTGGGAGGGTATTGAGAGATTCTATTACACCCACCTTGGGAGTCCATGGTGTCCACACTCATAAGACATGTACAGACAGAAAGGGGTGTCTCAAGGGACCCTGCACTCAAGGCTGATCTATTTGGGTGGACAACTTGCGTTCACCCCAGTGGACATAGATCCGGCAGCTGTTAAGTTTCCACCTCCAAATTTTCATTTCTTCAACACAGGGGGTTTTATGTGGCCCTACTACATCCTACCCTGTCCCAAAGTCTGACTCAAACACTCTTTTGAAAATGTAAATTGGATTAAACCTCTTGTGATGATTGGCTCTAATTTCAGGTGGCTCTAATTTCCCTCAGACCAAATCTGCCCTCCTGGCTGCATCCTGGAAATGCAGCTCCCGGGTCCCTTTGCTCCTTCACTCTACTCGCCCTCTCTGCTCCTAAGCTCCTGGAGCAAATCACACCCTCTCCCACTTCCAAGTCTGCCCCTTGCTGCGCCTTCTGCCTAAAATGCTTTCCCTCCAGCTGGGTCCTTCTAATCATCGAGCGTGCCCCTAAGTGTCGCTACCTTGACCTCTCCCTGGTTTCCTACAACATGACACTCAGCACAACTTGCGCTGAGTTTGTCCATCCCTCCTTTCGCCTGTCTCTCTTCGCTGGAATACAGGCTCCATGAGGGCTGTCACCTGTGTCTATTTCTATAGGGGTAGCCGCAATACGTAACCAGATACCTGCTCAGGTTTGGTGAGTACAAGGCAGGAAGGAGGGAGTGGGTGGGCGGGTGGATGACAGAATGGGTGAGTGGGGAGGTGGACAGAAGGGGAGTCAAGCAGGCAGGCAAGATGGAGGGAGGAGGGAAGACTCTCCTTATGTTAACACGCATCCAGAAGCAGTGTAGTCAGTGTAAGCTCAGGAACCCAAAACACAATCCAAATGCCAACTCTGTCACTCACCAGCTGTGTGACCTTGGAGAAGTCACCTAACCTCTCTGAGTCTCAGTTTCCTTATGTGTAAAAAAAAAAGGGGGGGGATTGGGTGGGGATGATGAGGGTGATGGCAATAAAAACTATCTTTTTGTATCATTCTGAGGGTTCAGTGAGATGAAGCATCTTTAAGGTCCTTTAAACCCTAGCACAGATTAAACTCTCCACAAATATTCACTCCTTTCTACTATTCCTTCTCTTGATCTCTCAATCACTGCAAATTCCTGATCAGAAAACTCACCCAGTTCAAGAGAAAGAAAAAGAAACCAGGCTCCCCCTTCTAAGATTCATTCTTTGGAGAACATGAGACAGTTTGGTAGTGGGCAGAGAATCACTGCAGAGAAACAGCCTTCAAATCGGCCACAGGGGAATTTGTACCAAGTTCCTTAAACAGAGCTAGATAAAGAAAGACACAGAAGAAATAAAGAGCAAGCTGCTTTCTCTTTTTCTCTGGAGCTGTCATGTGGGTTAGTGCATATTATTTCCCAAAAATGAGTCAGCAGGGAGAGACAGCTGGGGCGCTGTGCCTCAACACAGCACAGAAGAGCCCATCCACCTGGGAACATTTCATACTGAGTTGGATATTTCCAAGCTGCAGTTTTAGGAGTTGGATGCACTCAAGTTCAAATCCCAGCCCTGCCACTTGGCTTGGGGGACATTTCACCCCTGAATCTGCAAATGGGAATAATCTTGTTTGCCTCATAGGGTGTATGGGGTAAACTAAAAAAAAAAAGGTCTCAAAAATGCAAGATGAAAGCAGTCATCTAGCAGGTCTCTTGCTCTTCCTTTGAGTCTGAGTTTGCTGAATTTTGTCCCCCACTTTCTTAAGCATCCTCTGAAGATGTCTGCCCCTCTTGTGGGGCGCTTGCTAGCAAGATGAAACCTTCTTGAGAATTTTTTGCTGTGGTTCCCTGCTGAGTCCTGTAAGTCTGTGACTGCTGGTCCCGGACAGCTCAGTATGCCTGTCTGGCAGATGGGCAGCGAGCCGTCCAGAGGGAAACTGGCCCAAGGGAGTCTCTTCTCCCAGGTGTCGCAATGGGCCTGCTCCCGGCGCTGCTGCAGGAAGCAGGCAAGCTGGGTCCCAAAGAAAGAGGCCGGGCTCGCAGGTGAGTGAGGGAAGCAGGCCGGGGTGCAAACTCTGCAAGAGGGGAGTGATGGGGTCACAGCCATACCTCCCCAGGGGAGCTGGAGCAAGCCCCTGGCCCTGCGTCCTCAGTCTTCACCAGAGCTAAGTGGGGCTCTCCAGTGGGGAGCCTCTGGGTCCAGTTATGCCACCTCTGCACCCCCTGAGGCTCAGTTTCCCCACAGATGAGATGCATTGTCTCCTGCTGCGCTGCCTGTCCCCGGGTCATGACATAACGCCTGTGGGGGTGTTGTCAGCCGTCTGCCAGAGGTAATGTCACCCTGTGGCCCCAAATGTCTTCCTAGCAGGTGACCTTTGCTGAGCAGCAGGCCTGCCAGGGGGCTGGGTCCCTCCTGCCTCTTGTCATTCACTGGGGTGGAGCCTGCGGCCTTGTGGGCGGAGCGGAGCGGCGGGAGCCTCACCACATCCGCCTCTTCCTCCCCACCCTGCACATGCAGCGGGACAGGGACGGCAGCCACCAGCGCTGCTGCCTCCTCCTCGGACTCTCTGCTGAATGACCCATGGGCTTGGGGTCCTACTGCCTGCCTGCTCCCCCCTGAGTGTGACTGACAGCCCCGCGGTCATCTGCCCTCCAGCCTGTCTGTCCATCTGTCTCCATGTGTCTGCCTGGCCAGCCACCTGCCTGTTTACTTGACTTCTGTCTGTCCGCCTGCCCCACCAGTCCTTGCCTGCTGGCTCTCCAGCCCTGCCGCCGTCGGTTGGCCCTGCCCCCCACCTCCATCTTCTATCCTATGTGACCTGTCGGGGACATGACTATCCCTTGTCTGTGCACTCGCCTGGCTTTCTCTGTGTGACCTGCCTCTCCGGAACCCCGCTGCCGTCTGTCTGGTGACAGGTCACATACTCCTCTGGTTAGTGACTCTGGGCAGGTGGCGGATCCCACCCCAGGCCCTTGTCTCCCACCTCCAAGCGGAGCTCAGCTGCCACCCCCAGAAGTCCCATAGATCACCTGGTGCACACGGGATGGATTCCTGAGGATGACGCAGAACAGCAGGTACCTCTGCCCCAGCCGCCCATCTCCACGGGGCCTGGCATGTTCTCTGCCCGGGAGAGACCCGTTCCTTGCTCGCGGTGGAGGACGCGGTGAGGTCCTGTGCCCTCGACACCTTTGGGAGCACAGAGCCTGTGGAGGGGAGCTGGTGTCTCTTGTCCAGCCCATCTCAGGACAGAGTGCTTTCTGAGGAGTCCGCTGGAGCTCTGGGGGGCAGGGGCACGGCAGAGATGGGCTGTCTGCAGAGACCGGCCTCCAGAAGGTTGAGGGCAGGGGGGGATACCAGGTGGAAACCAGGTCCAGAGTAATTTTTTTGTTTTTTAAAGTGGTTTATGTCTTAATACTGAATTCTTTTTTTTTTAATTTATTTATTTATACAAGCACTGGGTACAGTCAGAAGCGCGGGAGGGTGAGAGAATTCACCAGAGCCAGAGGGGAGAGCAGAGCTGGCAGACTGACGAGGTACACTGCTGAGGGGAGCAGCGGGCGGCAGGAGAGGTCTGCGCGCCATGTGGGACCCTCGCCCCAGCCGGGGATCGAACCAGCACTGCAGAGGCTGCGGGCAGCTTCGCAACCCAGCGCTCAACCGCTGCGCCACCAGGGGAGGCCCCACCTCCAGAGTATTTTGACAGTCCCTGGGGTCCTGGGAGCCAAGCCTGCCGGGGTGGGCACGGTTGGAGACGGTGTGACGCTGCTAGTGGGCCATTTGTCAGGGAAGGGGGCATCAGCTGTGTGCCAGGCTCTCCTTCACCTCACCTGACCGTTCAACACCAGGTTGGTGTCCTCTTTTCCCAGATCAAGGGCGGAGAGGCTCGGAGGGGAGTGTGTCCTCCCCCAGGTGACTCAGCCAGGACTGGCAGGTGACCGGGGGCGGGTCCTGCCCTCCACAGGCTGTGCCGCGTCTTTCTCGTGAAGCCCAGGGCTGGGCCGAGGGTGAGCAGCAGGCGGCTGTGCACACGTGCGGGAGCGGCAGTGCCCCGATGGGCGCCTTCTGAGGCCGGGAGGGTGTGCTGCTGCCGTGTGATAAAGAGGGAAAGGAAGGCGCGGGCACACACTCCAGGCAGAGGAGGGGGAGGAAATGCCTGGGGAGGGAACTGCAGCCCGTGGAGCAGAGCACTGGGGCTGGGGCACAAGAAAGTCAGGGGCTGAGCTCCCCCACCCAAGGAGGCTTGGAGTTTTAGATGCACGTGGTGTGTGTGTGGGGGGGAAATCTGGCGGTTCAAATCCGGCCGCGGGACTTCCTAGCCGGTGAGCTGGGGTGTCTGCTTCTTCTAGCCTCAGTTTCCTCATCAGCAAAATGGGGCGAAGAGAGCACCAACCTCGTGGGCCAAGCTCGTGGGCTGGGTTGAGGATTCAAGGGCAGAAAATGTGAAAGTGCTGGCTGGGCTCTCTCACCCTTCCCATTAGGAAGGGAGTTGCCTCAGGAGGAACTGGAGCCTGAGGAGGACGAGGGCCAGTCTGCAAGGGTTGTCAGAGGAGCAGGGACCCAGTCGGGAGCCCTCAGCCCCCTGGGTTCTGGTCCCACCAGCACCAGCGCCCACCCTGCTGCAGGCTTTCTAGGGTATCTCCTTATCCTTGAAATACCAGAGGAGGCTGGTTGCCTGGTCCAGCCACCCTTAAAACAGTGTGAAAGAGTTTTATATATTGTTTAGGTGAACTTATGTGTGTTTTGAATGTGTATATGATAAGCATCAAGCTTCACATCATATAGAAATGGGGAGGGGTGACGAGGAGGGGTACATTCCACAGATGAGGGTACTGAGGCCCAGTGGGGAGAGCTTGCCCTGGTCTGCTGTGACCATAGCATGCAGAGCTGGGTAGACCCCCAGGCTGTCTGGTGGCAGGGACACAGCCTGCCGGACACGTAGCACAAAACGAGATTTTCCATCCTGGGTGTCTCTGAAAGGGCCATTGGATCAAGGGGTCTGGAATGATCCCAGAAAGGCAGGCCTGATCTCTGTGGTGGGCTGAGTAGAAGCTCTGGTCCTGCCCACCCCACAGCTGGCAGGGAGTCTGGGTGCTCATGATCCCACAGTGCAAGAGATGAGCCCAGAGCTGGAGGTGGCCGGCATCCAGTAACATCTGGGACCAGAGGGGTGGGATGAACACCACAAAGTTTTTGTCCCTAGGCACTACGACTCCCACCTGCCCAGTGGGGAAGAGAGGGGGTTAGAGGTGGATGCTGGAGCCCATAAGGTGCCTGTGGGCAGGGGGTGGGGGTGGGCTGGAGGACAAGGCTGTTCAAGAGCAGATGGACAGAGGCTTGAGTTGGACCAGAAGTTTTGAGGAGCACCAACTTCTCTGCAGTGTCAGGACTGCCCTGGTGCCTGATAAATAAATTGAATAAAAGGCAGGACAGTCCTTCCTTCCACAGTCAGGGAGGGGAGCGGTGGCTCAGCCCTTCTGCACACAGCTGGGAGGTCCACCCTGTCAGGTGGGGAGAGCTAGCCCTGCTTATCAACATGCAGCTGGTTGTGATTTGGGGCTTTGAAATAGCCAGACCTGGGTTGACCCCCAGCGCCACAACTTAGCACCTGTATCACCTTGAGGAAGCCGCTGAACCTCAGTTTCCTCATCTCCAATATAGAAATAAGTTCTCCTATTCAGATTTAGTTCAACATGTATTTTTTTTTTATAGAGGCATGTTTTTATTTATTTATTTATTTGTTTTTTTGTTTTGTTTATACATGCACTGGGTACAGTCAGAAGCACGGGAGGGTGAGAGAATTCACCAGAGCCAGAGCGTGGAGCAGAGCAGGCAGAAGGACCGAAGTACACTGCTGAGGGGAGCAGCGGGCGGCAGGAGAGGTCTGCGCGCCATGTGGGACCCTCCTCTGGTGGCCGGGGAGCAGCCGGGGATCGAACCGGTGCCGCAGAGGCCGCGGGCAGCTTCGCAACCCAGCACTCAACCGCTGCGCCACCGGGGAGGCCCCCCAACATGTATTTTTTTTTAAAGTCAGTCTCAAGCTTAATTTCTTTTATTTTTTTAAAGATTTATTTATTTATTTATACAAGCACTGGGTACAGTCACAAGTACGGGAGATTGAGAGAATTCACCAGAACCAGAGGGGAGAGCAGAGAAGGCAGACTGACAAAGTATACTGCTGAGGGGAGCAGCGGGCAGCAGGAAAGGTCTGCGTGCCATGTGGGACCCTCGCTGGTGACCAGGGATCGAACCAGCGCTGCAGAGGCTGCAGGCAGCTTCGCAACCCAGCACTCAACCACTGCACCACCGGGGAGGCCCTCAACATGTATTTATTGAGCAACTACTGTATATCAGGCACTATGCCAGGTCCTGGTTGCACAGACAGAGCAAGGTGTTGATGCAGGGAAAGACCTTAACAGTGGCTCATGAGAAATGGTAGCCATTGTTTTACTGCAAATATCACTGCTAATAGTCATCTAGTTTCCAGCTACACACCTTCCAGCATATACTAAGTTTCTATCAAAGATGGATCTTATGTTGATTCCACGCCCCTTTTCATAGATGGGGAAACTGAGACTCAAGAGGGGGTGGCACCTTTCTAGAGTCACCTGGGAGTCATAACAAATGGAGGGAAGAAAACTATGAAGAGAGGGGGGAGAAAACACTTACCCAAGAAGAAGGGGCTTCACCCCTCACAGCCCTTCCTCACATGTTTCTCTGCCCATGATCCCCAGTACCTCCCAAATTTGAGGGGCAGGGAACAGGGACCCCCCCACACTCCCAGGGCTCACAGGTGCAGCCGCCCCCACTACTCGGGTTGGCGCCTGGCCAAGGGGACTTTCTGCGACAGCTCAAATCAGAGCTCTGAGTAAACTTGGAACTTCTGCAAGACCTGAGAATAGTCCCCGGTGCGGGCAGGGGCCCTCAGAGGCTCTGAAGGGGTCACCTGCCTGCTGGTCCTCAAACTCGAAAGAAAGGTCTGTCACACAGATTGTCCCGAGGGAGGGGGCAAGTGCACCAGCCTGGCCCTCTGCTCAGGCCCTGGCCTCTCCTTGCTATGTGACCACAGGCAAAGCTCTGGGCCTCTCTGCGCCTCTATTTCCTCATCTGCCAAGAGGGCTTGATGACGTAGACTGAGATGAGGGCCTGCAAACTTTCTCTGGAATGAGTCAGCCACTCTCAGTCTGCTTTGGCCAGGGCCAGGGCAGGCTGGTGAGCGCCTGTGGGCAAGGAGGGGCTGGAGGGCAGCTGTCAGGCTGGTCCCAGCCCCCCACCTCATGGCCTCAGGTAGTTGGGATTATTTCTCTGTCTTACATCTAACCCCACCTGTCTGGGGCCGCTGGAGTGAGGTGTGAGAGGTTGCACAAAGGGACAAGTTTGCCCTACATAGTGGAGATTGCAGGGCAGATAGTAAATGCACACAGGGTGATTGCTGGCAGTGAGACAAGCTTCTCAGCCAGGAGAGGCTGCACAGGTTGAGAGAAGTTCCAGTAGAGAAAGATTGTTCAGGCCAAGGAAAGACTGCATAGAGAGAGATTCATGGCCCACCTGGGAAGACAGAGATTGAGAGGTTGCACAGGCTCAGAAATTGTACAGGTTAAGGGGAAGGACAGGCCATTTCCCATAGTCTAAGCTCTAATCCCAGGGAGCTAGCACACCTGTCCTCAGACACCCACAACCACCCCCCACCACCACTGGCAAAAAATATTTTTTAAATAAAATGCAACAAACACCCCCTCCTCCCTCACACACCAACCTCCATTGTGCCCACTCCCTGCCTCTTGCCCCCCCCAGAGGGGCCCTCACACTGCCCTCATTCTACAGATGAGGAAACAGGGGGAAGAGATGTCCTACTGTGAGTGAGCAGCAGATCCTCCTCTCTGTACTGGGGCCACTAGTTTCCCCAGCCTAGAGCTCAGCTTAGGTGGGAACTGGCTGTGTGACCCTGGGCAGCCCGCAGTCCCTCTCTTGAAAGGTCCACAGTACTGATCTGATGATAACAGAATCACTCAGATCTTGAAGCTGAGGGTGTTGCCAGGGTGAGGGGAAGTTCCTAGAGACAGTGACAAGCTGATGG